TTGGCTTTGTACGTGTTAAAAGTGTAAGTGGAGGCAGAATACTTAAGAATTACCTTCTAAAGCTTTTGTGAATGTGATTTGACAGTACATTATTTTCTGTGCATTCAAGTCTCATTCTCTGATTCTTTTGCTTTAAATGAATGGGTTAGAACATTTTTTTTTTTTTTTTTTTTTATCATCAGAACTTTGGGTTTTCTTGCTTTACTTTTAATCACATTGTTCTTAAACTGTATTATTCCTAATCTAATGAAAAGTGTGATTCTCAAAAATGTGTTGAAATGACTAAAGTAAACAAAAATGTAACAAATGAGAATGCATGAGCCTGTCCTTAAGAACTGATAGAGTGCTTTCAAATACTGATTTAACTTTGTGATGTAGGAAGTGTAGTTTGCATGAAAAAATAGCAAGCTTCTGACATACGATGGACATTTTTAGTGGAGCTTTGTTTTGTAAAGGTAGGTCTGGACAGCTTTGAGAAGTCCTAGCACTAATAATAGAGCAGTTGTCACAATACAACTGATTGTTAAAAATATTATGTTGTAAGATTTTATTTTTGGTTTAGATTACCATGGACACTATAGCTAAAGTCACTACTGGGACATGTGTGGTAGACACTGATTGGAGCAAAACCAAAATTTCTATTTTTGAACCTCTGAAACTGAAAGGTGATTAACTAATTCTCCTCAGAGGAAAGTTGCATTCTTCACTCAGAATTGAGAGTGGTGGCTCCTGTACACTAGGGTTTCCAGCATTAGTGATAAAATACACATACATGTTGGGTGTGGTGAGAAATACAGCTAGAGTTTGGCTACTTGCATTATACTTTGTTCTTTTCATTCCAGTGCAAAAATCTGTAGTTGTTTAAGAAATCATATTGCTTTAAGTATGATATCTTACATGGTGCTTTGGAAAGTACAGGCTGTCAAAATGCAGAATGATTTGGAATAGAGTACTGTAGAGGAAAACACTTCAAAAATTCTTTTAACAATGCAGAAGGAGAAAAATTACAATTGTACATACAAGCTCTTTCTTAACTGCTTAGTAAAATGACTTATTTAAATGAATATTATATTTAGTAACTAGCATGGCTGCTTTGTTCCTTGTCATTATATTAAGAATTCACTTTAGCAAGAGACAAACTTAAGTACAAACACTTGAGTGTGGTAGTGGTTAGATCAAAACATTTAAGTCCTTAATTAGATGGAACAGAGGCAAAAAAATTACATGAGTGAAGAAAAAAATCCATTGGCTCGACTTAATTTTACAAAATGCAGCTGAATTCCTTTATGTTAATTTTTAATGATGCTTCAGAAAGGAGGGTAGCACTTCAGTCAGGTGTCTGACAAGCTTGTCATTTGCAAATAAATCAGAAGACAATCATTACAACAGCAAGAACCAGTGAATTGATGTAGTTTTGTCATTCTTTGATGGGCCCCACACTCAAGTCCTCTATTAAAAATTAATGTATTCAAGAGGCTCTGCATTAAGAACATAAACAATTAAGGCCACTTCAGATGCTTTGCTAAGAGCTGCCACAGAGCTAGGAGGGCTTTCATGAGAGATTCAGGCTTCTTCAGTGTGCTTTACCAAGGAGCCAAAGAACATGGGCGATTAGTCATGTTTGTCTATGTTCAAGCACCTTTCTGCAAAATTTTCTTTGTCTACTCGTTCTTCTAACTGCCCGACATGTCTCAAGATTAGCAGTTAGATAATAGCTATGTTATATTGGGAAGCCTCTAGGAGTAACTGATAAGTACCTTTCTTTTGAGACTTCCAAATGCCTGAGTGCTACATCTGGAATATATAGCTTACTGTAATGCCACCAATTACTGATGTCTAATCTTGAGTATTGAAGCTCTCCTGGACTCCTTCAAAAAATGTTTTTGCTTTCAGGAATGAATATATATATATATACACACACACACACATAGAGACTCAAAAAGTATTTCAGCTTGAAAGATGAATGTACATTGCCTTTTGAACAGCTAAATTTCTATTTAAAGTAATGAAAGTTATTTTTTTCTCAATTCTGAAAACAACCACATGCAGCTTCTGATGGGCAAGGTTACAGGTTAATTGTGCATTAAAACCTAACTTTCACAACTCACTGGAGAACAAAAATATTTTTTAACATGTCTTTGAAGAAGAATAGTTTTTACTAAACATTTGAGGGCAGCAAACAGGAGATGTATAAAATCTCATAGTGGACGAATATTTTTAAGTACATTAATCATGTGTGGGAAATTGCTAGTAGGCAAACTGCCTTGTAAATGAAAGCAGATTTTTGTTATGAAGTATAGAACAGTCTTTGTAGCTTCATTTTGGTGTAAATGTCTCTTAACTGGCACTTGTAAGAGCTGCAAGAAATCTCAAAATAAGCTTATTTATGGCATGTACGCTGGAAGCTTACCTAGCACTGGATGAATACTAAAGATGCTGTTCATGTATGAACATCAGTGATGCCTTGCTTTGCTAAAGACAAACTCAGAATGACAAATATTTTTTTTTTTTTCTACTTCTGATACTAAGGTATGATAGTACTTGAGAAAATAATTTTAAAGTAAGATTGAATGGGAAAGGGGGAAAGTTGATTATGCTCCCCTTTTCGTAAAAGAAATAAAAGTTTTAAAATATTTAGTCAACCTGCACTGGGACTAGTACTGATGGTATGATGTTTCATCCTCTTGTCTTACTGTGTGCTGTCCTGTATGCTATGTTACTACAGTAAAGCTCAGATATTTGGGACCTGTGCAGGAAAACTCAATAACGTGGACAGCTTATATGTTTTATAGACTCTGAAAATAGATCTTTTTCTTTATTTCTTACAGATACAGTAAGGATACTTATCTCAGTATTACTGAATAGGGAGACTTTTATGTAGGCCATACAGGCCAAAGGACTTTCCAGTAGAAACCAAATGAGCTGCCTTTTTTTTTTTCCTTCCCACTTATCATGTGCTATGATTCATCCTGGCTTCTGTCCTGACCAGAAAAGTAGCCCCATTGGTCTAGGGCAATTAACCTCTTGGACCTTAAACATCTTAGCTATAGATTGCTATATAACAGACTTTCTTTCCACGGCTGACATACCTTGCTTTCTGGAGAGACATAATAGATTATTACATAGATTCTCACAATCATGTGGAGTTAGCTTTTTTGTTGTTAGTTCTTCCCCCCTGCCCGTTAACAGACATTGAAAATACCAGCAGATTTGGTAATAGTTAAGTCTGATAACTGATAATAGTTAAGATGGTAACTTCCATGTACTGCCTTTGCTGATTTGGATGTAGTACCAGTACTAAAGGCCACACACATACAGAATGATGGATATTTGATTATCATGGCCCAAACAAAACAGAACAGACAGATGGCTGTTGTACTGTGTGAAATCGTACCTGTTTCTATTGAGAATAGGGATCTGTCCCCCTTATCGAAGGGGGAGAAAGGTTTGCTTTAAAGCAACTGTCACTTCATTGCACTTATTTAAGGGGAACCTTTCTGTCCCAAGAAGAAACCATCCCAGAACTGCTTAGGAGACTTGTCTCTGCAAACCTGGATGTGTCAAATATTAGACTTTGGTCAGGTAGAGTACTTCAGTTTCCACCAGAAAGACATGGTGTTTTACAAGACTCAATGCTATCAAGTATTTTCCCTGTGTCTGCCAGGGGTGAGGAAAAGAGGTGTTAAAGCTTGCCAGTTGTATTTAGATCCCAAATCACCAGTCTGCTGACACATAGGAATGGAGGGTGGCTTTTGTATCCTAATTACTGTTTGATTGGTGTATAAGAATCAGCATGTCATAGTGTCTTCCTAAAAAAAACTCGGGAAGATGGGAGGGCTCAGAGAGGGACTCAGCAGTTGAATTAGCAATGTTTTCATCTGACTTTAAAAGAGTTATGCATGTCATTTCTTGGAGGGCCTAACAATTATCAGCAGGGGTCTCTTGTCTTAAAACAAAAACCCTAAGAAATATGTATATGGACTAATGATATGAAAGTCTGAAAAGAGCTGTTTAGAGCATCTTGTATGTAGGCTGTGTTCACATCTGGAGGCTAGTTTTGGTTTTGTGCAACTGTGCTACAGTGACCAGAGGAGATGTTTTTAAGGGAAACAGTAGTAGTTGTGCAAGTATGTTGAGAGTTAGTTATAGTAGTGGTTCTGAATGGTGGGTAGACATAGAGGTCTGAAAAGCTGTAAGTACAGGTAAGACTGAGTAATGAAAGATCTTTATACCCCACCAGTGCTCAATCTGACATGCAAAAGTGGGAGATACATAAAGCTGTAGAAAAGTAGGACTCGGATGCTCTGTCCTGCTGTCTTTGCTGCTGCTTTCAGTGAAGGATTATTCTCTTCTCTCTTGGTTCCTAGACTTACTGTTCTCCTGTTACTCATGGTTTTGCTAATTTGCTGTTATTGACTATCATATTTTTTTCTAAGCTGATTCTTGTCTGCATTATTTTAATTCTCTCTCAATATGGATGTTTTAGAAGTCCGTACCTTTTGTCTCCATTCTGCCTTGCATCTGTTTTGGTATTTCTTTTGTACTCCTGATAGTGTGTTTCTGTCAGCAAAACTAATTTTACCTTCTAATAGGCAGATAAAATTGATCATGAAAGAAACATTTTTCTTCCATGCCTGTCACCTTCATGTTCTGCTTCTTGATAATTTGAGTAATAATAAATCTACCTTTTAAAAGGCTTTATCTTGGACTTAATGGATTTCAAAAATGCTTTCCTTGTTAATGAGCTATGTACAAGGACCAGATTTGTGCCTAAATGTGTATACAGATTAGGTGCTTTAGACATGGCAGATGTCCTAGAGTAACTAACTAAATCTCTGTCTTCATCTGTGTTTATATATTAACTAGTTATATTTGCAGTAGTATGAAGATGTGGATTTTTTTTTTATTTTCTTCACCATGTGAACTTAATCCTGTACAGTAGTTAATATATGGTAACAAGCCTAAAACAGAGTTTTAATCAAAATATTTTTCCTCTATAGACAGAAATCGCCAAGAGATTGAATACAATTTGTGCACAAGTCATCCCATTTTTGTCTCAGGAAGTAAGTAAAACTGTTCAGCTGTTAAAGTGCAATTATGTTGCTTTTCTGTTTGCAAATTAGCTAGTTTTAAGATGTTAATTTTATCACAATACACAAGTGTAAGGAACATCTGTTATAGCTGAAGTGTGCAAACCCCCTGCTAATTCGTTCTAACAAATCTGAGTTCAAACTAGTGACAATGGCTCAGCCTCATTCATTGCCTGAGGAGAGTGGAAGTCTGTAAAATATTACCCATGCAACAAAATGCTTTCATTTCTAATCATGGTGATTGCTGATTTGATATTCAGTTGTCAAATGTGAATCTAGTGAAATAAGCATGCTTTTCTTGTCTATGTAATTTGTATCAAATTTTAGTGTAAAAGGTAAGTAGTTAGCTCAGATGCAAAACACTGTTTAGGGTTACAAACCTGCATCTGGTGTGAATGACTGCAATTGTAGCATATTGTGGGCAGCTGTTGTTACATTTTGAAGACTGTTATTTTGGATATGCCTTTTCTAACTCTACAGTTTACAGAGATTATTTGTAATTCTTGTTGAGTTCAGTGAAGCACTGCTTTTCCATGTTTGATATTTCAGTAGGCTTTGCTGTGTGGGCATGGAGTATATAAATGTTAAAATTTACACTAGTGTGAAGCTGACATTATCGTCCTGTCAACTGAATTAGAAAGTGATGATTCATTTTCCAGAAAATTAACATTGAATTGGCCTGAAGGAACAGGTGAGGAATAGGGCACTGTTACCTTTTACCTGTGTAAGATGTCTTGTAATAGGCAGCCGGGGCTTCTTCAGGCAAACTGCTTTCAGGTGTTTGTGATCCTGGTTTGATTTGGTGTGCTCAATACCTTAACATGAATTTTTCCCCATACCCTTCTTCTTTTAATAGCATCAGCAGCAAGTGGCCCAAGCTGTAGAACGTGCCAAACAAGTGACCATGGCTGAACTGAATGCCATCATCGGGGTACGTGGCCTTCCAGGTCTACCTCCTACAGTGTGTATAACTTGCTTTCATATCTTACTGCTTTGCTATTTTAAAAATAAGCTTAATGTTTTGATATCTAACGCTGTTTTGATGCCCAATATTGATGAAGTGTTTGCCTTGCTTCCCACAGATTTTTAGCAGGGATAAAGTTAATAGTTTAATTTGTCAGAACATCATTTTGTTCATCAATGCTGTGTGTAACAAAACATTTCCTGCAAGAAACATAGTGATTAGGAGACTTGCTTATTTATTTGTAGGTAATGTATGTCAGTTGATCTAGTTACCTTTGCCTCATGCTTTTTGTGACACTTGAGTTCTTGGAGCCTGTACAGCTATTCATTCTTCTTTCTTTCCCTTTCTTATGAATCCTTCATGAATTTTAAATTAGCAAGCTACTGAAAAGAAACTTCACTTGCTTTTGAAGTAGTATTAATTGTCTGACACAGTGTTCTAATAGCCTTTCACCAAGTATGTGCTTCTGAATATGCTGAAATAAGTTAATACTACTTGCTTGTGACTGCTTGTCAATCACAAGTCATTTGCTTTGTAATAATGAACTTTCTGAACCATACATTCCTTCCACTGCATGAGTTCATTTCCCCCGCCACTAAGTCTAGAATATTTCTCATGTTTTCTGCCCTTCCAGACTAAGTGAAAGAAGTAGCCGAAACAAGAACCCGTCCTTTCTGATTTTATTCATATGTGAGCGCCTTGAGCGGATTCAAATTACTCATTTATCAATTTATGTTAATTGCTTGTGAGAAGATGCCCTGCTGGTCTTTATAGTTCCCTCAGACACTTTGTAATGATAATTAGACATGCTGCTGTACGGATTAACAGTGCCATAGTCCAATGACGTCTACAGACAATGGAACCAGTTAATCCATCTGTGCTTAAAATTACATCCCAACTGGAGATGGGAAAAAAAAAATAGGAGTGAGGGAGGATTAAAAGAATGAGCCTCAGCTTGAAAACTCTCCTTTCATCAGTTTCTCAATTGCAGATCTGCAGTCGGTTTGCCTGTGGTAAGCTATTGGCAGTCAATTAGGTGAAATAAACTGGGAGGGTGACCTTCATTTCCTTTTAATAGCTTTTCCTCCCCTTCAGTGGATTTTCAGCTTAAATTTTATTCAAGCTGCTTTATTACACTTGACAGATTAGCTTTGCATAAACATACCCCCCCCCCTTCAAATCTGCACTGTTTTTCCCCTTCGTATCAAATTTTGACTGTTACTTATTTGATTTGCTAATCACATCTTAGAAACCCACATAATTACATCTGTATTTGTCACAATCTCCTCTATGCTTTGCTTGTGTAATGAATTACTTTATGAATACCTGATTTGATCTTTGAAATACGGCACATGTACATTTGTGGTATTTGATTAGCAAAGATTAGAGAACTGTACTTTCTTACATTTCTTAAAAATGAATTACTACATTAGGATGAAAATGGAATGGAGACCCCTTTTTAATGAACTAGTTTTAAAGAATATTTTATGCAGTAAATGGAAATATATTTTAAATATGTTTAAAAATATTCTTGGAGGACTTGGGATAGTGCTACTTAGCCAAACCAAATTTTGCTATCAAGCATGTCTTGTACCTCTCTTTAAAGTCTGCACATTATAGTCTTTTAAAAGCTATAGGATCTACAAGTACCACATGCAATTAAGAACTTTTTTTGGGGGGAAGGGAAGCATGAATAGAAGACTCTACCTTTTTAATTTTTTAAATTATCTAAGACTCACCAGAAGAGATACTTCCCTCTGTCTTCCGAAAGGCTTCTGAATGATGTCGTACAAATCCAAAACTGTGAATGAGTAAATGGACACGTTGGGCACAAAATTTCTTTGATGATGTAGATGCATGCATATATATTATGCTAAAATTGGATGTATGTCAGAGTGATCTTTTACAGTCTTGTGTGATCAATAATTACTTTGTGCCACACAGTAAGTTTCATGCTTTGACATATGCTTGATTTTGTTTGAAAGGGACAGTGTGCATCCTGGAAAATCTGAATAGCATAAAATTGGGTTGACAATTCAGCGGACCTTTGCTCCCTCTCACTGAGCACGCAGTGTGTCAGGCCCTCTCCCCAGAGGGGAGGACACATCAGAAGCCTGTCTGTTCCTACAAGCAGCAGCTGCACCGAGAGTGAGCACGGCCCAGTTTGATAGCAGCTGTCAGTATTGTTCAGGGACCTGACTTAGTGTAAAGAACAATGCAAGGGCCATGCTGTTAAAGTGCAGTGTCTTTCAAGATAAGAAAAGAAATAGTGATTTAACGGTTTAGACCTCTATTATGAGCATGAAAGATCATGAAACTTCTTTTCAGAATGCAAATAGGCTGGAGCAATCTGTAACAGTAGAAGATGCAATTGAGTAGCTTCTGGCGTCATACTTAGCAAGGATACTTAAGTAGAATAAATTATGAGGATAGGAGGAAAGTTTAATTTTCCTAGCTGATGTTCACTTGTGCAGTTGCTCTTGATTAGATAAATCTACATTTTTGTTGGGCTTTGACTTCTTTCCCTTCCTTCCTTTCTCTCTTTATGGGCCATTGTTTCCTGACACTAAATGATTCAAGAGTTTCCCCATTGCCTTGCCTGAGTTAAAGCAATTCCTGTTGCTACTGGGCCATATGTGAATCCTGGAAGGGAAAAAAAGGCATTAATTAGTGGGAACAACTTTTTGAAATACAAAATTATTTTGAAGTATCTTTATTTTATACTTTTTTTTTCTTCTGGTTGAAAAGTAGAAACCTGTTGGAGGACAGACTGTGAGGACAGGAACTTGTAGTCTCACGGGACTGAGATTTTTTTCAGAGATTTTACCTACAAAGTCAAAAGCCAGGCTTCGGAATTTGTGTATATTAAGCGCATACATAAGAGAATGAATGAATTGACAGATTAATAATAATAATTAAAAAAGTAATATAGTTGGACTCTGTGAGCCTGTAAGCAGTATTAATCCTCTGTGTTGATTAAAAATTCTTAGTTCAGGAGAGAACTGTGAGTGATGTTTAGTTATTGACAGTCATACTTCTGGCTTTATACTTTTCCTGCATGTTTTTGAAGGTTTTAACTTGCAGTCAGGGGGTAGCAGTGTGGCTAAAGAGCCTCCTTGCCATTTTTTTTAAATGGCACCATTTAGTATTTGTTATATTAAAGTTGAATGAAATAGCAATTTTTCTAGATGAATAATAAGCAAAACAGAAACCTTGTATTTAAAAGCAAATGTCTTACCTCCTTGGCACTGCTGCACTAGAGGCAGCGTCCACATTTGTGGTTAGGAAGAATCCGGATCATGGTATGAAATAATTAAGTAGATTATTGTGGTTTATCTTGAAGGGTGTGGTGTTTTGTTTTGTTTTTTTTTTTTTTTTTTTTGTTGGTAGTTTGGGTTTTTTTGGGGGGGGGGAGTTGAGGGGTTTGAGACACATGATCTAGCTGAAAAATCAAAAGTACTTCAAAGTTTGTGCTAGGTAATATGGGGGCAGTTACATTGGTCTATCTAGATGTAAAGAATGAAAAATTTGTTAGATTTACTTTCAAATTAATAAATTAGGTAGTTTTATGAGTAGAATATGCAAATATATGAATGGGAAATGTAAGCAGCGATCTGGAATCTTTTTAGCATTGCATTTTAGATCTGTGATTTTAGTGTACCGTTGAGTAGCCAGGTATGTCTTATTTTACCCTCAGAGGTGAGTTGCTAATGGCTCTGTGAAATATATCTTTTAGATTGACAGTACTCTTGAGACAGATTGAGTTGTAGGCCTCCGAGAGGCCTCTTCACTGTTGCATGAGGTGATTGGCTAAAGGATTAGCAAGATGTGGGATTATTTTTTCTCTCTTGGCTGTGGTTGCCAGCTATCTCTGGGATTGTAGTGTGTGAAGTTTAAGAGGATGGGGTTAACCTCTTGAGGGTTTATTCTTATGAGTGTGTAGTTAATCCTTAGAAAGCCTATAAATAACTAGGCAGTATGTTTCATTATAAAATAGAAATACAGACGAGAGCAGAAATGAATGCAGAATTTAGTGCAGGGGAAGAGCTAAGCAGCTGTAGCATTATTTTAGATCCTCCTCAGCCATGATCTGCATTATGTGCTGAGGGAGGAGAAATTGCCTATTTCTTTTAAATTAAATAAAATGAGATCTAGTGAGCACAAAACGCTATGTCCTCACTTCTAACATAAACTAGCTAACCCCAAGTCTAAATTACTGAACTCTGGCAATAGGAAACTCTATTGTGTGGCAGCATCCTGGGTTGTTCTTCATATTTAGCTTTTTAAAAATACGTAGAAACCTTAACAACATTTTAGGGCTCTGTCATGGCAGGTGCTTTTAGAATACAAAGGCTCCAAACTTGTAAAGTAAGTTTAAAATAGGTAGCAAAAGAAAAAAGTGTTTGTCAGAATGACAATTGGTATTCTCAAAATACCAGTCCCCAAACAATGGTCAGATTTTTATTGTTAGTACCACAAAGCTTTGAGGAAAAGTAAGGAGGTGTTATTAATATGTAATGGTAGTTTGTCCTACTCAAAACAGAAAACCTGGGAGAAGGTGTGTAAAATATGAATGAATAGATACTGTTAACTAAACTTGGTTTCCACTTGACCCCTGTGCCACCAAGCAGGCACACCCTGTGCACTCTGGACTGATGGGGAAACAGAGAACCTTGGAGCAGCAGTATAGAGGAGGGTAGTGTCTAAAAGAGACAATAATTTATTGTGGAAGAAGATATTCTCAGTCATTCAGAAGGGGGGAAAATTGCATCCAAATGTCAAATGTAATTGAGTTGCAGGCCAGACCTCCCTTATCTTGCAAGGTTGATAGAAAAAGCTGCTTCTTGGATCTTGTCCAAAAGGAAAAACAAAAGATCTTTAGGTGGATTTCTTGACTAGATCTAATATCTAAGCTACGTGTCAAAGGTGAGACCAAGTATATGGTTACAAATCTGTGAAGCTAAAGAGCTTTCAAGAAAGGAGTGAAAATGAGATGG